TAACATATATGACAAAAAACGTATTTAACATGTTTAACAAACTGAGTTTTCTTGTCCTTGTAGTTGGTTATATGCATGTTCTACTGAACAAAGAAAATCAGCTTGGGTCAAGGACTTGCTTGCGTTCAAACTTAGAATAAACTCTTTCTGAAAACCATTAAAATCAACATTTTCGAGACATCCTAGTCTAACATCTCCATTTAATGTCGTTGTAAATCCAAAACATGCAAGTGTGAAAACAACAAAGTCTTACGCTTTCATACAAAAACATTGGATAATTTTCATAATGACTTCAAAAGATTTTGCTTATTTAAAAAATATGCAGATCTAGTGCCACAAAGAGGGTCCTCGTCATGCCATTCCTTGTCTCAGAGTGCATATCAATATAATGGCTGGTGGAGGCAATAAAATGGCTGTCTTGGTGCATTAAAGATTGATTCTGTCATCAATCTTTTCAGTCTGTCACTGTTAAAACCAAAGAACATCAGTTTGAGGCACTTGCCTGTGGTTGTTGTTATGTGCTATATAGTACATTGTATCCGCCATTGTTTTCTTCACAAAACCTCATCAAATAAACTATCACCATTTCTGCCCAGGCATGCAGATTACATAGAAGTCATGAAGTGATATGGACAAAATGTTTACAAATGTGTAAGTATTTAATTAAGGAAGGAGGTTATTGAATACACTGGTATATATTATGTGCTCAGTCGAGAGTGAGTGAGTGAGTGAGTGAGTGAGTGAGTGAGTGAGTGAGTGAGTGAGTGAGTGAGTGAGTGAGTGAGTGAGTGAGTGAGTGAGTGAGTGAGTGAGTGAGTGAGTGAGTGAGTGAGTGAGTGAGTGAGTGAGTGAGTGAGTGAGTGAGTGAGTGAGTGAGTGAGTGAGTGAGTGAGTGAGTGAGTGAGTGAGTGAGTGAGTGAGTGAGTGAGTGAGTGAGTGAGTGAGTGAGTGAGTGAGTGAGTGAGTGAGTGAGTGAGTGAGTGAGTGAGTGAGTGAGTGAGTGAGTGAGTGAGTGAGTGAGTGAGTGAGTGAGTGAGTGAGTGAGTGAGTGAGTGAGTGAGTGAGTGAGTGAGTGAGTGAGTGAGTGAGTGAGTGAGTGAGTGAGTGAGTGAGTGAGTGAGTGAGTGAGTGAAATTGTTTATCTGGACACAGAGCACCCACCCCACCCCACACCTGGACGATTACCGTATATCAACACTCATGATATCAATTAAACAAAACAAAACAAAACAAAACAAAACAAAACAAAACAAAACAAAACCAATCTTGTAAATTTATAGTATTTGAGTTTTGTTTCGGTCTGCCTACTCTGAATTACCTAAGAAGAAACCCCATAAACTGTCATTATGTGTTTGACCACACAAGAACAATCATAGGATCATTAATATACCACTCACTTCACTCTGTAGAGTATTCTCAAAGTGAATACAAAAAAAGGGTATTTATACTGATTCATAGTAGGGCTGGGACAGGTAACTCCGGTACTCGGGTCAGGTGGGAACTGAGAAGGACCCGGGTACCCGCAGGACTACCCGGACCCGTGGTTACTCATGTGATATATTGTTTAATGGGAAAAATGATCT